ACAGAAAATTTATTTGAAGAAATAATGACTGAATATTTCCCTAACCCTGGGAAGGAAACAGACATCCAGATCCAGGCAGCCCAGGGAGTTCCAAAATATATGAACCCACAGAGACCCACACCAGTCACATTATAATTAAAGTTTCAAAATGTAAAGACAAGAAGAGAATCTTAAAAGCAGCAGAAGAAAAATAACTTGTTACCCACAAGGACTCACCATAAGACAATGAGCAGATTTTTTTTTTTAACAGAAACTCTGCAAGCCAGAGTAAAGAGGCACAACATTTATAAGACACTGAAAGAAAAACTGCCAGCTGAGACTACTCTACCTGGCAAAATTGTCCTTCAGATTTAATGGAAATATAGAGTTTTCTAGATAAGCAAAATCTAAAGGATTTTTAAATCCTTTCTAGATAAGCAAAATCTAAAGGATCTTGTAAGACCAGCCTTACAAGAAATGCTAAAGGGACTTCTTTAAGCTGAAATGAAAGGGAACTAATTAGTAACAGGAAAACATGAAAGTATAAATTTCACTGGTAAAAGTAAATATATAGTAAAATTCAGAACAATGTAATGCAAAGGTGATGGGTCAATTACTTATAAAGCTATTATGAAGGTTAAAAAAAAAAAGGTAGTAAAGTAACATAACCATAATAATTTGTTAATGGATACACAAAATAAAAAATATAAATTGTGACATCAAAAAAAACAAATAGGAAGGGGAGAGAAATTGTAGAGTCTTAGAATGTATTTGAGGATGCCTGGGTGGCTCAGTCATTAAGCATTGGCCTTCGGGCTTTGGCTCAGGTCATGATCCCAGGGTCCTGGGACTGAGCCTCATATCGGGCTCCCTACTCTGCAGGAAACCTGCTTCTCCCTCCCCCACTCCCCCTGCTTGTGTTCCTGCTCTGTCTCTCTCTCTGCAAATTAATAAATAAAATCTTTTTTAAAAATGCTTTTGGGGGCGCTTGGGTGGCTCAGTGGGTTAAAGCCTCTGCCTTCAGCTCAGGTCACGATCTCAGGGTCCTGGGATCGAGCCCCACATCGGGCTCTCGGCTCAGCAGGGAGCCTGCTTCCCCCTCTCTCTCTGCCTGCCTCTCTGCCTACTTGTGATCTCTCTCTGTCAAATAAATAAATAAAATCTTTTAAAAAAATGCTTTTGAATTTAAACTGTTATCAATTTAAATTGGCTGTTATCAGATATTTTATGTAAGCTTTCATGGTAACCATGAACTAAAAACCTACAATAGATACATAAAAGATTAAGAGAAAGGAATCTAAGCATAACACTATAGAAAATCATCAAATCACAAAGGAAGAGAACAAGAAGAAAGGAACCGAGGAGTAACAAAACATTCAGAAAACATTTAACATAAAGCGCATGTCTACTGTGCTCACTTCGGCAGCACATATACTAAAAAAGTGCATGCCTACTAATAATTACTTTAAATGTAAATGGACTTAATTCTCCAATCTAAAGACATAAAGTGGCTGAATGGATGCAACAATAAGACCCAATTAAATGCTACCTACAATGGACTCAATTCAGATGTAAATAAACATACTGGTTGAAAATGAAGGGATAAAAAAAAATACTTCATACTAATGGAAACCAAAGGAAAACTGGAACAGCTACACTTATATATCAGACAAAATACACTCGAAGGCTAAGACTAGTAAGAGACAAAGAAAGTAACTATATAATGATGAAGGAGTGATCCAACAAGATGATATAACATTTCTAAATGTCTATGCACCCAACATAGCAGTACCTAATAGATAAAGCAAATGCTAACAGACTTCAAAGGAGAAACTGCAATACGATAATAGTAGGAGACAAATAAGCCACCTTCATCAATGAATAGATAATCTATATTAAAGATCAGTAAGAAACATAAGGGTCAAACCAGACATGAGACCAGACAGATTTAATAGACATTTTCTGAACATTTCATCCAAATCAACAGACTATACATTCTTCTCAAACATATATAGAACATTCTCCAGGATAGATCATATGTTAGGCCACAAAATAAGTCTTAGCAAACTTAAGAAAACTGAAATTATATCAAATATCTTTTCTTTTTCTTAAGATTTTATCTATTTATTTATTTTTATTTTAGAGAGAGAGTGCAAGAATGTGAGCAGAGAGAGAGGGAGAGAGAAACAAGTAGACACTCAGCAGAGTGTGGAGCCTGACACAGGTCCAATCTTACACCCTAAGATCATGACCTGAGCTGAAATCAAGGGTCGGACACTTAACGAACTCAGCCATCCCAGCTGAGACCCCTTCAAACATCTTTTCTGACTGTAATTGTATAGAAACTAGAAATTAATTACATGAAGAAAACTGGAAAATTCACAAGTAAGTGTAGCTTAACCAACATGCTACTGAAAAACCAATGGGCCAAATAAGAAATAAAAAGAGAAATAAAAAAATGCCTTGAGACAAATGAAAAGGGAAAAATACAACATACCAAAACATATGGGATGCAGCAAAGCAGTCCTAAGAGGAAAAATCATAACGATACAAGATTATCTTAAGAAACAAAAAAAGACAGGGCACGTGGGTGGCTCAGTGGGTTAAGCCTCTGCCTTCGGCTCAAGTCGTGATCTCAGGGTCCTGGGATTGAGCCCCACATCAGGCTCTCTGCTCAGCAGGGAGCCTGCTCCCCCCCCCACCGCCTGCCTCTCTGCCTACTTGTGGTCTCTCTTTCTCTGTGTCAAATAAATAAAAGAAATCTTAAAAAAAAAAAAAACAAGAAACAAGAAAAGTCTCAAATAAACAACCTAAGTTTACAATTCAGGGAAATAGAAAAGGAAACAACAAAGATTAGAGTAGAAATAAATGAAATAAGAATTTAAAAACATAGAATAGATCAAAGAAATTAAGAGCTGTTTTTTTTAAAAGATAATTTGTTTATGGACAAATCTTCTCACCAAGAAAAAAAGAGATTTAAATAAAATCAGAAATGGAAGAGATGTTATAACTAAAACCACAGAAATTAGTTTGACACCAAAAGCAAAGGCAATAAAAGCAAAAATAAATAAATGGGACTACATTAAACTAAAAAGCTTCTGCACAGCAAAGGAAACCATCAACAAAAGGAAAAAGCAATCTACCAAATGGGAGAAAATACTTGAAAATCATATATCTGAAAGGATTTAATATCCAAAATATACAAAGAACTCATACAACTCAACAACAACAAATGTGATTAACAAATCGGTAGAGAATCTGAATATATATTTTTCTAAAGAAGACGTACAAAGGGCCAGGAAGTTCATTAAAAGGTGCTCAATATCACTAATTATCAGGGAGATGCAAATCAAAATCACAATGAAATATCACCGCACACCTGTTTAGAACGACTATTATCAAAAAGACAAGAAATAACAAGTGTTGGTGAGGATATAGAAAAAACAAGGCCCTTGTGTACTTTTGGTGGGAATGCTAATCGAAGCAACTGCTATGGAAAATGGTATAGAGATTCTTCAAAAAATTACAAACAGATCTATCATATGATCCAGCAATTCCACTTCTGGGTACTCTTCTGAAAAAAACAAAAACATTAACTCAAAAACATAGAGATTATGCTGAGTGAAATAAGTCAAGCAGAGTGAGTCAATTATCATATGGTTTCGCTTATGTGTGGAGCATAAGAAATAACACGGAGGACATGGGGAGATGGAGAGGAGAAGGGAGTTGGGGGAAATTGGAGGGGGAGACGAACCACGAGAGACTGTGGACTCTGAAAAGCAATCTGAGGGTTTTGGAGGGGCCGGGGGTGGGAGGTTGGGTGAGCCTGGTGGTGGGTATTATGGAGGGTATGTATTGCATGGAGCACAGGGTGTGGTGCATAAACAATGAATTCTGGAACACTGAAAATAAATTTAAAATATAAATAAATTTTTTTTTTTAAAATGCACGCATCCCCAAATTCATTACACCATTATTTACGATAGCAAGATATAAAAACAACGTTTAGTGTCCATTGATGAATGAAGGATGAAGAAAATATAATATATATAACAGAATACTATTTGGCCATTAGAAGGAAAACAGTGCCATTTGCAACAAAATGGATGGACACTGAGGATATGCTAAGTGAATTAAGTCAGACAGAGAAAGACAAAAACCACATGATCTCACTTATATGTAGCATCAAAATAAAAGATGAACTCACAGATACAGAGAACAGACTGGTGGTTGCCAAGGTACAGAGGAGGAGCAAGTGGGTAAAACAGGTAAAGATCGTCAAATGGTACAAATATCCAGTTACAAAATCATTAAGTCCAGGGGTGTAATGCACTGCATGGTAACTATAGTTAATAATGCTGAATTATATATTTGAAAGTTGCTAGAGAGTAAGTATTAAAAGTGTGGTGATGGGTGTTAACTAGACTTACAACCATAATCATTTCACAATTTACACAAATATCAAATCATTTGTTGTACACTTGAAACAAATATATGTCAGTTATATCTCAATAAAAAAAAAGAAGTTAAAGTTATGCCAGGAGCTGCCTCCAACAAACTCATTCAGCATGCATGCACTGAGTCTAATGTTGATCCAGTGCCCCTACTAAACAGTGGAGATACTGTTTAGACAGAGACAATCCTCCAAGACTTGATGGTTATAGCAATTTCTATGCTTCTGACTCTCCCATGTTAAGTGCCTTGGGCATAATTAGCTGACAAATAGAAAAACAAATATATTATTCTTGCCATGCTCACTTATTAAGAAGAAGGGATGCAAAGGGCTTACACTTTCTTTCACATTTTATATGTCTTATGTTTCCCCCAAGATTAAGAGCAGGGAATGTGTTGCATAGAAGTGTTCAGGAAAGGCTGTTCTCAGACAGAATCAGTGAAAACACAACTGCTAGGAGCTTTGGCTGCACTTCACTGCTCATGGCCTAAGGCCATGAAGAGGCCAATAAAGGTTGGAGCTCAAGAACACCAACCCAGATCCAAGGCTTCCTCTCTGGCACCCAGCCATGAAGCTCCTTTTTCCTATCTTTGCCAGCCTCATGCTACAGTACCAGGTGAACACAGGTAATACGGAATCCTGCATTTTGAAGGGGTCGGTGTGAGGAAGCAGGGATGTGGCTGTCCATGACAATGAGAACGAAAGTAATGTTGAAAAGAGGAGATGCCCAAACAAATGGCTGAAGTGTTTACCTATCGCCTCAGTCATGCACCATCCCCCATGCATCCCATAGGCCCCAACCCCCCTAGACTCTGTCTGATGGGAATACACGGGGAGTTACAGAGAAAGCAGGATGTTTTCTGTGTATTTAGAAACTATCCAATATATAAAGGCTGCTTTCCTGCCCTTTATATCGTTATCATCTGGGACTCAGCCAAATCTATCTCATTTCTGCTCTATTTCTAGTTTAAATCATCTTTTGAAGCAAACGTTCATATTAGTTTATACCTTGGTGTAATAAGGAGGAAGTCCTTACCCTTGTGCTAAAAAAAAATCTCCTCTAAGGATCCAGTAAATAGGTCTATGTTCTCCCTCACAACTTTTTCATATTTTTACAGAGTTTCATCCCTCTTCTCAGGGTTTGTCTTCTTGGAAACCCCCAAATCACTCATTAGGGCATCTAGGAATACATTTTGGCAAAAGCCTGAACCAGATGATTGGTCACTGTTTTTTTTTTTTTAGAAAGAATAGAGAAGCAAATTCTGAGAATTTGTTTCAGAACAGAAGAATCACCCTGATATTTAGAATAACTGGCAATGGGTCAGGGAAGGGAAAATGAAAAAGTCAATATATTTCTAATGTTTTTATCTTGAGACCTTAAGAGAAGAGAAGTAACATAAGCAAGTATGGCTGTGTCATCTTGGGTAAAGTCACTTAGCCACTTTGAGCCCCTAATTCCACATGAGTGTAGCAGGTTAATCAATGTAGCTGCTTGAAATATAAGAATTTTACTATTTTGTCTCTGGAGAGAAATGAAATTAAAATGTATGTGAATATTGGGTCCTATATAAGCTTCTTGCTATTCACGGGAAATCAGTTGTTAAGATTATAGAGTGAGGGAGAACTTTCTTGATTCAGAAAAAAGGTGAGACATTGGGATGAAAAAAATTCAGCAGATGAACATGAAGTACTAAAAATGAGCAGAGAACCTGGAGCTGTAGATAACTATGTGGGAGTTACCTTGATAGAGATGAGGCTAAGGCTGTGGTGATGAATAAGGCCTCTGAGGAACAGAATGTCCAGGGAGACTACAAAAGATAGAACACCGTGTCCCAGGAACCACAGGTCAAGTGGTTGTCAAGGAGAGTGAAGTCATGGACCACTAGGTTTGGCAAGAAGTCAGCACTGCTGAAAATCCTACTGATCCCTTTTGAAAGTCTTCCTTGGATTAGTTTTATGACAGGCTTTATTCTTGTTGGTATTTTCTAGGATCATGAGGAGAGATAGTGATGCTCTGTAAGTGTCTAAGGGTCTAAGCTGGAGATCTAAAATCTTATCCTGAAGAAAAAAAAAGTGTTCCTTTTCTCCTTTCCTCTATGTGCTCTAGATTTTTAAAGTTACTCAATGAGGGGGACTAGAGAGATTTATTTTGGATTTTAGGGGTGTACAGATCCACCCCTTTGGATTTTAGGGGTGTAAGAGACTTTCTTGGCCTGCCAGGTGCTTCCATCAACATCCCTAAACACTGCACTTACCATTAATAAACACCCTCTTATTCTATGCCTCACCCTCCAGCAGTCTTAACATCATATATAGTTAGTAACCTTAGCCCAATGGTTTTCTCTTTTCTTTGTGCAGAGTACTTTGGCTTGAGAAGATGTTTAATGGGTTTTGGAAGATGCAAAGACCACTGTGGTGTGGATGAAAAAGAGATACAGAAATGCAAGAAGAAAAAATGTTGTATTGGACCAAAAGTGGTTCAAATGATAAAAAACTACATGCAAAATGAAATGTCCCACACACTTGGAGAGAGCTACCAAGAACATCTACAAACTACCAAGAATTCTGATGCTGAGATACAAACAAAAAATAAGATTTTACCTCTTCTCCCCCAAATCGTAAGGATCAACCATTTTGCCAACATCAACACCCTCATCATCCCAAACACCACCAATGTAAACTCTGCCATCACCAACCCTGTGTTCTCAGGAAAGATTTCATATACTGCTATTTCTACCAAGAGAGACACCAAAGAAATCAGAAACTTAGCTGCTGACTTCCCACCACCAGCACCACCACCCTTAGACACTACCAACGACATGACTGGAGCTGGAGGAAGCAGATGAGCAGGGATGTGGGCCTTTCCCTTAAAACACCAAGTTCCTCTCTTCTTTGTTAGCTGTAAAATGAAACACAGATCTGTTTCCTCTGTCATCAGTCATTCAATAAATACTATTTAAGCACCTATAGTTTATATAATGTTATCATTCTTACAGAAACATCACAGAGGAGGTAGAGCTGGAGAGGAATGGAACTTTAGTTTGCATGCCCAAGAAAAAGCAAGCACTAGGAATGGTGAAGGTAGCATTGAATTTGGCTCATGGATAGCTCAGATTAGGCCTCTGTAACAAGGGTTTATGGTTCTCATAAGATGTGGTTTCCTTGTGGTAACAGGGGGAAAAAAAAAAAAAACAACAAGAGACATTATTTTTTTTTTCACAGATTTTGTAGAAAAGGCCCAAATGCAAAAACAGAATGTGGGGGGTGGGGGGGGGCAAGTCTACCTTCCCCACTAACCCAAGAGCATAACCCAGTTCATGGAGCCACTTAAGGTAAAAATACAGGGGAACAATGGAAGGGAAGAGCAATAAAGGAGAAGCATACGATTTCTATCTCCGGTCCAAAGCATTTCCCAGGGCACAACAGGCAATAGGCAAAGTGGTACTTCCAAAAGATACATAATGCAGACCACAAATGCAAATCATACAGGTCATTTTGAATTTTCTAATAGCTACATTTAAGAAAATAAAACTAGATAAAACGAATATTAATAAAAAATTGTATTTGATGCAATAAATCTAAAATATCATTTCAACATATAATCAATATAAAAAATATTTGAGGTTTTTGCACTAACTTTTTGCAATCTCACATGTATATTACAGCACATTTCAATTCATACTGGCCACAGTTCAAGTGCTCAATAGTCCCATGTAGCTAGTGGCGACTATACTGGACAGCATCAAGTTAGAGACATTCAAGCATCTACTGAACTGTTAGGCGAAGGAGATGATGCTAATCAAAAGCCAGTCATATTTCTAAGTGCTGTGGTATAGAATTTATCCATATATGAGCATCTGTTAATCATTCACAAAACAGAGATGTAAACATGGCATTATATCCCAGAATCTACTTTCTTCTATCCCAGATCACACTTCTTTTATTGCCCAAATTAAAACAGCACAGACCCCTATTCCACTTTTTGAGCATGTTCCTCTCTACTACCTAGTGCCTCCCTCAATTTAGAGACCACCTTTCCTTAACCTACTGATTCTTTACTACACTGTCACCCTAACCAAGGCAAAGATTTTCCCACAATCTTTTTAAAATATGTTCCTGCAGACATTTCTCCAAAGAAGACACACAAATGGCCAACAGACACATGAAAAATGCTCCACATCACTCAGCATCAGGGAAATACAAATCAAAACCACAGTGAGATACCACCTCACACCAGTCAGAATAGCTAAAATTAACAAGTCAGGAAATGACAGATGTTGTCAAGGATCTTTTGGTGGGAACGCAAACTGGTGCAACCACTCTGGAAAACAGTATGGAGGTTCCTCAAAAGTTGAAAATAAAGCTACCCTACAACCCAGCAATTGCACTACTGAGTATTTACCCCAAAGATACAAATGTAATGATCTGAATGTGCACCTGCACCACAATGTTTATAGCAGCAATGTCCACAATAGCCAAACTATGGAAAGAGCCTAGCTTTATATCAACAGATGGATAAAGATGATGTTACACACACACACACACACACACACACACACACACACACTGGAATATTACTTGGCCATCAAAAAGAACAAAATCTTGCCATTTGCAATGCTGTCGATGGAACTAGAGGGTATTACACCAAGGAAAGTCAGAGAAAGACAAATACCATATGATTTCACTCATATGTGGAACTTAGGAAATAAAACAGATGAACATAGAGGAAGGGAAGGAAGAATAAAATAAGATGGAAACAGAGAGAGAAAAACCACAAGAGACTCTTAACTCTAGGAAATAAACAGGGTTGCTGGAGAGGAGGTGGGTGGGGTAAAAAGTAACTAGGTGATGGGCATTGAGGAAGACACTTGATGGAATGAGCACTGGGTGTTTTACGCAACTGACAAATCTCTAAATTCTACTTCTGAAACTAATAATACAGTATATGTTAATTATATTGAATTTAAATGAAAAAAAAATTTTAAATAAATATAAAATAAGGGGCGCCTGGATGGCTTAGTCTTTAAGCGTCTGCCTTCAGCTCAAGTCATGATCAAGCCCCGTATCAGGCTCCCTGCTCCGTGAGAAGCCTGCTTCTAACCTTTCCCACTCCCCCTGCTTGTATTCCCTCTCTCCCAGTCTCTCTCTGCCAAATAAAAAAAAAATCTTTAAAGATAGATAGAGAGAGAGAGAAAGAAAGAAAGAAAGAAAATAATAAAAAATAAAACTAAAACATGTTCCTTGAAGTTTTTGTATAACACAAAAGAGTTGCCATATGAAGAATAATTTCAACTCTTGCTAAACATGAGTTCCCCTGAAGAAGCCCAAATATCTTACAGACATGAGATTCCCTCCCTGCTACACTATTTGCCAAACTCTTGAATGTCCAGCTTACCTTCCCACAGTTGGAGTGCCCTCTTCATTGTCTACCCTCTGAAAGAAAAGAAATTTCTTTCCTGTCTAAATGTAAGGCCTTCTTCTGAGTCCTATCATAGAACTTACCCATCTTCTCAGGATGAGTAATACTGGGGAATACCCTTCTCAGCTACAAGCTAAGAAGGAAACCACAGTAGAAATCAAGCCTGCCAATACCATGATCTTAAACTCCAGTTTCCAGAACTGTGAGAAAATACATTTGTTGTTGAAGCCACCCAATCTGTGGTATTTTGTTATAGCAGCCCAAGCAGACTGATATAGCCCATAAAAGAGATGATACCCTTTTCCTCCTCCTTTCTGAGCTCTAAGTAAAAAGACATAGGAACCACAGGTGCCTCTGAGAATACCCTGAGCTTTCGTTCTGGGTTTATCAGTCACTGACTTTGGACAAGGCTAAACAACCTTACTAGGATTTTTATACTCAAACCCAAGATATTAGTTTATTAAAATGGTGGTCAGATGTGACTGTTAATTATGAAAATAAAACTCACAGAATGCAGTGGAAGGCAACAAGCATAGAATGATTACTTAATTGTTGTTAAATAATTTGGATTTTTTCACAGACACTGGGTTTGAGTTTACTAATAATTTGAGTTTACTAATAAATCAAATATTGCTATGCAAGGGAGGCAAGTCCGTTTGTGCTCAGTGTCCTTGTACACACTTTGCAAGCCATGAGTCTGACTTCTAATTCCAGCATAGTAGTTGAGTGGATCACAGCAGTTACCATTGCTGCTGGAACAGCTGCAATTGGTTATCTAGCTTACAAAAGATTTTGTGTTACAGATCATTGCAGCAAATCTATGGTAAGCCTTCACATCCAGAAAGACAGCCCCAAGACAGTACATGCTTTTGACATAGAGGATTTGGGAGATAAAGCTATACATTGCTGTTACTAAAGTTCTGAAAAGCTTCTGTGATAGGGCCCACACAAAACATAACAGAGGCTGGAGACAACACAAGACCTCTAATCATCAGGAAAAAAAGAAACTGAAACAGATTTGATGTTGCAAACTGACTTGTCATGCTATTACCTGATTGCTTAATTAACACAACCACTACTACTGTCTAAGTCAACTTCCCTGTATTCTTTGAAAACTGCAACTTTCACATCACAGCATTTGCCTTACATAAAACATTGTGGTACATATTTGCTTTTTCAAAAGTAAGGAAAAAGACAGAATAGAGAGCCCTGAAATGGACCCGCCAATCTATGGTCAACTAACCTTCGACAAAGCAGGAAAGAATGTCCAATGGAAAAAAGACAGTCTCTTCAACAAATTGTGTTGGGAAAATCGGACAGCCACATGCAGAAGAATGAAACTGGACCATATCCTTTCACCACACACAAAAATAGACTCAAAATGGATGAAAGACCCCAATATGGGACAGGAATCCATCAAAATTCTTGAGGAGAACACAGGCAGATACCTCTTCAACCTCTGTCACAACAACTTCTTCCTAGAAACATCGCCAAAGGCAAAAGAAGCAAGGGCAAAAATGAATGACTGGGACTTCATCAAGATCAAAAGCTTTTGCACAGCAAAGGAATCAGTCAACAAAACCAAAAGACAACCAACAGAATGGAAGAAAATATTTGCAAATGACATATCAGATAAAGGGCTAGTATCCAAAATCTATAAAGAAATTATCAAACTCAACACCCAAAGAACAAATAATCCAATCAAGAAATGGGCAGAAGATGGGGCACCTGGGTGTCTCAGTACTTAAGCCTCTGCCTTCAGCTCAGGTCATGATCCCAGGGTCCTGGGATTGAGCCCAAATCGGGCTCCCTGCTCAGCAGGAATTCTTCTTCTTCCTCTCCCACTCCCCCTTCCTGTAAGGGGAACTGTGAGAAAATACATGTGTGTCTCTCTCTCAAATAAATAAAAGTCTTAAAAAAAAAAAAAGGAATGGGCAGAAGACATGAACAGACATTTCTGCAAAGACATCCAAATGGCCCACAGACACATGAAAAAGTGCTCCACATCACTCGGCATCAGGGAAATACAAATCAAAACTACAATGAGATACCACCTCACACCAGTCAGAATGGCTAAAATTATCAAGTCAGGAAATGACAAATGCTGGCGAGGATGTGGAGAAAGGTGAGCCCTCCTACACTGTTGGTGGGGAATGCAAGCTGGTGCAATCACTCTGGAAAACAGCATGGAGGTTCCTCAAAAATTTGAAAATAGAGCTACCCTATGACCCAGCAATCACACTACTGGGTATTTACCCTAAAGATACTAATGTAGTGATCTGAAGGGGCACGTGCACCCAAATGTTTATAGCAGCAACGTCCACAATAGCCAAACTATGGAAAGAACCTAGATGTCCATCAACAGATGAATGGATAAAGAAGATATGGTATACATATACAATGGAATACTATGCAGCCATCAGAAGAAAAGAAATCTTGCCTTTTGCAAGGA